AACAGGATGAGTAACTTTCATATTCTCTAAGCACAGCATCTTAAAAAGCCAAGCAGATAAAGTAGACACAAACTTTCAGGAAACAGTCAGACCAAATACAGGATTAGAAGCAATCTGTGGGCAGGCAGGGACACATCTGCACCAGGTCTGCACACAAGAATATTGTTCAAAGCTCGGGCGGCAATCTCAGCTTTCTTTCATTTTTAATTAATTAACAAAGTACCACAAAGCAGAATGCATGCACTATTCATTCTAAGGATAACACATTACATCTGCTGCTGCTGCTTCCATTTATTACTTGATAGACCAGATTCTTAGGGTAGTTTTATTTTAAACTGAATACCAGAAAGAAAAATTCATCTTATAGCTGTCAATGCACAGCCCAGCTTTCACCACCCAGACAAATAAGTATCTCATCTTTAACCATGACACTCTCTTGGAACAGAACATGCTTGGAAAGCCCACACAAATACAAGGAATACAACTGAACATAATTTCCCCTGTCCATTTAAAAGGCCATTAAGTCATTCATTCCCATGCAGAAGTTAGAGAAGAAACATGCACGGCTGATAGCAACAGGTAAAACAAATCTTCTAATACAGGTAGGCATAGGTTTTCATCCAAAGAATAACACATATCCTAATTATTTTATCTTTAGAACTGTCCTATTCATCGTCCCTGAAGATAAAATAATCCTTCCTCATGTCTTTGTGCATTACTTTTACTAAAGACCTTACATGAATGCAGTAAACAAGCACAACTTTCTCAATTGACTTAGCAAGGAAAGAAGAGTCACTAAAGCAAACTCAGATTAAAATAAAACCTTCTGACTCCACTGTGTGCAACAACTGCTGTGTTTTACTCAAAATGACTCAGCATGCCCTCATATTTGAAGCTACTATTTGTCCATCCCCATGTTAGACATGACAGTTACTTAAAACTTCTTCTGAACCAGACCACAGAATGGTCTGGACTGCTGAAAGAATACTAATACACAGATGTGACTGTTTTATTCGAGACTGGGAAATACAGAGAAGAATTTTACATGAGAGCTCTGCCTTCCCATCTGGAGGTGTTTACAAACACTTCTCAGAGTTTCCAACTCCAGTCTCATCACAGCTCCATCCTTCTCCAGAAGCGATACATTTGTTTTTAACAAGGAAGCAGGCAAAATGAATCTAATATATACACCCACCTCCCTCTGGACTAAATGTGCACACTTTTTTGCAGAGCTTTGTGACACATTGGCAGTTAATAGCACTGCAAATTAAGCACAAATTACTTTTTCCTTCCTTCCTAAAAATGCTTTAAGAAAGCAGTGTAAAGACCAAAAAACTTGAAACTAACAGCCAAGTTCTCACAGCTTCTAGAATCTGACTCCTATAACCCTAAATTTATTTCAACTAGCAGTTGTTTTTTCTTAATATACTGGTATTACAAACCTTCTATATGAATGATTTAATAATTGTATAGAGATGCAATTCAGTGGTCGTGACCTCCCCATGGGAACCACTGGCGATTTTCAGTGAAGAAAACACAAGGTGTGCTCACAGGTCTGGTGATAATAAAAAGCTTCCAAGGCATCAAGGATTTGCATACTTGATTTCAGCATGCAAGGATGAACAAGGCCCAAATATGACTTCTCAGTATTTTGCTTTTCCTGACGAGTAAAGCATTCCTGTATTAATATGCAGAGGTCAGGTTAGCCCTGTCAATATGTTTTACTGCTCATTGGCCAGCAAGCAACTCCCTTAGTGAGCATGGGTCCCTGTCTGTCTTTAGTTCCATTTAAAGTAAATTAAAAAATAAGGGTTTACTAACAAAGGTGGATTTTCTGTGAAGCATAACCAAGTTATCATTAGCTTTAAACTGTATTTTCCTTGGTATAACTTTTCTGTCTAAACTTTCACCTCCTTTCAAAATGGCACCTTCCCAACCTATCACACTGATTACATCGACCCTTCTCCTCTCTTATCACCCTGAGCTGTGTTTGATTCACTATGTGATAAACAATTAAAATAATTTCATAATATAGTTCCACCCTGACCTTAATTGAATATTCTAGCATATCAGGAATATGATCAAGTTATGGCATCAACATATGTATCCAAAATTCCTCATCAAGAATGAGCAGCCAAATCTATAGCTAAGATTATTTTTAAATACTTCTTGTTGTGGAGCTGTCCCTGTTGCAGAAATCAATGTTTGCCACCATAAGTATAAATTCTCTGGAGGAGAAAACATTTACTCCCGTTGTTGTTCATCTATTCAACTTTTAATTCAAGTAAAACTACAGGAAAAAGAGCCATGGCTTTAATATAAGGTCAAAGCATGAAAATTAGATCTTTAGAAGTTGGTCTAACAATGTGTCAGTAACGCTGAGGCCACCCAATCCCTTTCAGAGATCTCATAGTCACATATGATATCCAGTAACTTCCTGCTGAAATGCATTCTTGTTTCCTCAAAAATGAACATTTCTCCCAAGTATACCTCAGTACTGGGCTTAATCAGAAGAATTATCAATAGAGCTCTTCATTGTTAAGTGCTTTTAAAAATCATATGCTTGAGTGACATTTCAAGTAACAAAACCTACATTTCAGCAAAAGTCTATTGGAAATCACATCTTCCAAACAAGCTCCTGACCCCTTTTTTCCATTACTGTAGTTCTGCAATGGCTTAAGGAGCTGTGTGAACTAGAAATTTTGCAGCTGACTCTGTGAAAGTCTGATTGTAATCAAACACGATACTTCAAACATATGCAAAACACAGGGGTAGAGAAAAGCCAACGATTATTTATAAATAGAAATTTCACCTGTGACAGCTTGCAAAAGAACACTTACTAAGATTACTTAAAATTAAAAATGACTCCACATAGCACTACAAATGCCAAGTACCTGAAACACAGACAGCAGATCAAATCAATACCATTTTCAGTACCTTTGACAGGCAGATTCTTTTGATCAGCTCCAGATAAGCTTGTAACTGAGTCACCACTGCATGGTTCCATGACAACATAGGCCTAACTGATTTCCTTTCCTTTACATGCTTATGTATCTACACATTTGGGTATTTCACAATTCCAACAAGAGCATTAACTCAGTTGTTTTCTATGGTATAATTAGGCTGCCTGGGTTTGGCCTCGTGCCTTAGAACACCCTTGCAGTGATGACCTAGAAAGACACTCTCTCTAGCTGGTCTCACTGCTCCAGGGCATCACAGCAGAACAGCACCCACGACCTGAACAATGCTGCTCTGCGCTGTTGTACGTAGGCAATTCTTAAAACACTTGTAGCTTGCTAAATTACAGCTTGCTTATGCTGACAAGTTACTAATTGACTAATCAACTCTCAAACAGCTCCGTTCTGTGCTACGCAGAACTGAGCCCAGGAGAGTAATTCAACTGGTTATGACAGTCAGAGGCTCTAAAGGCCACAGAATCCCGTGAAACCTTAAGAAATGTCTTCAAATCCATAGATTTGAAAATCACAAGTTAAATGCTACTAAAGGATTTCTTGTTTACTTCTCAGAGACACAACTTTGAGCTTTTCCTCCTGCAGTTTCAATATATTTTGGTTAGACCTCAAGCTTTTCTTCAGAATCATCATAACTAAGAACCTCTTTATCTAACTGAAAACTAACTTTTTTAAACTTCCACAAGCAGAGACAGGGCTTTCAAAAAAACTTAATTTTATCCTGTTACAGTTGGAAATGCCACTTCTGGCCATCAACATTCCCACCTACACAGCAACAATACACAGGATAAAATGGAACCAATCTAAAAACAAATATGATTTGTATATTAGTAACATGCAAATAGGAGCCTGTGTAAAGTCCACCAGAGTTAACAAAAGGACTGACACTGCCTTCCACACCACTTGGATCTGGCCAACGGTGAAGAAAGATATGCAAAAAGGGAGAAGGTGGCTGCACTGCATCCTGCCAAGTAAGCACTGCTGCCTTAAGCCAAAGGGAAAGCGAGGCCTGTACCAAGAAAGAGATTAATGTGGGAGTTACATAAAAGACTTCAAAAGAAAATTTTAGCAAAACACTAACACGGCTGCAAATCCTAAAACAGATTCACTTGTAGGAAATCAAGCGTCTCATAATAAATCACTAACACTAATGCCATACTGCAAACTTGCACTGTCTGCAACATCAGGTTCCTGCTCCCATTTCACAAATACAGTAATGTATATTTTGCATGTATAAGTGCTTTGCAGTCATTGACTGCAAATCATTCATTTGTGTAATTTCTAGAAACTCAGAAGCAGTTGATTGGTAAACAGAAAGTATAAAAATACTCTAAAGTAAAACACTTATAGCTAACACAGAGAAATATTCTTCTGGACTCTGTAGCCCTAGGCTTTTAACATTTACCAGTAACTTCTGTAAGGATTAGTATTTTCTATAAGGAACACTACAGACCTTATGGAACATTCTGGCATATCAGAAATACCATTAAATTACAGCATCAATGTATGCATCCAAAACTTCTCATCAAGAATGAGCAGCCAAATGCATAGGATTCATAATAAGAAATATCACAGGACTCCAGTTAGGGAATCACCCCACCTGTTCAGGCAAAATAAATAAAATCCATTTCCTCCAGATGAAATTTACAAACTAGTCACATTTCACAGCATCAGAGTGACACGAAGAAATTAACAACACCCAGGGTACACAGTGTACTGCAGGCCAAAGCTTGGCCGCTGCCACATAATTTTTAAAGAGTATTTTTTAAAAAATTATATTTCAAAAGAAGTCCTAGGAACACCTCCTAGATTAGCTGCAAGACGACAAAACGAACAGGACGGGGCAGGGTCCACCAGAAAACGCCGCGCCCCCGGGCCCCCCGCGCCCCCGCCCCGCAGGTACCGCGGGCAGGAACCGCCCCGTCAATGCTCCTGAAGGCCCCAACAACGAGCAGCCTCACTAAGTTAATTAATAGCAACACACTCTCTAATTGCGTGCTCTCTCTGGTGACTCACTCAAAGGCTCACCCCTGGGGATGGATGGATGGATGGATGAGGAGGCTGAGATGTGCAGGGGAGGAAGGATGGAAGGAAGGTGGGAGCAGCTTGTGGTGCCCGATCCCCCCACCCCGTGTGCGGACAGCCGAGAGGGGAAAGCGAGGGGCAGGCACTGAACCTCGGTCCTTCCCCTCCACGCGCTGCCTGGACCGAGGCGAGAAACGAGGGGGACGGAAAAGCGACGACGGCTTCGCGCTGTTCCCCCCACCCGCCACGGCCGCTGAGGGAGGGGGGGTAAAATGGCGCCGCCCGCGCCGGGGAGGAGCCGGTTCCGCCACAGCGGCCGCCCCGCAGATGGAGGCGGGGGCGGCGGCGCCTCCCAGGGCGCGGGGAGGAGCCGGGGCGAGGCGGGGCTGCGGCGGCTTCCTCCCGCCCCCGCTGCCGCCCTACCCCTCGGCCAGCCGCTCGCCCGATCGCCAGGGATTAGTGCGTGTGAATATCTCGAAGGCGGGTGCCGGGAGGATGGTGCTAGGCTCTTTACAGAGGTGCCCAGCGCCAGGACGAGGAGAAGTGGCTGTAAAATGAAACACAAGTTCCACCTAGACATGAGTAAGGACTTACTTACATTGAGGGTGACAGAGCACTGGAACGGGCTGCCCGGGGATTTTGTGGATTGTCCCTCTCTGGAGACATTCCAAACCCAGTTGGACGCCTTCCTGTGTCACCTGCTCCAGGTGACCCTGCCTGGGTAGGGGGGTTGGGCTGGATGGTCTCCAGAGGTCCTTTCTTAACCTTCTAACCCTAACAGTTTTGTGCTTCTGTGAATGACACAATCAGTTAGGTTGGAAAAGACCTCTGAGTCTGTCAAGTCCATCCTATAAACCAGTCACCACCTTGTGAGCCAGACCATTTCCCTCAGGGCCACATCCAGTCTTCCCTTAAACACCTCCAGGGATGGTGTTGCGTGGGCCATGACCAACTTTTCCTTCCCCTTCAGCACCAGGCATTGCTGGAGGGCGGCAGGAAGGGGCTTCAGGGCTGGTGTGAGTCCAAAAAGCCAGGGATTTTTGGGAGAGACAGCTGGATCTCCGTGCATCAGGGAGGTGTGGGTGTGCACAGGTGTCTGGGCTCCGCGTAGGTGCCAGCGCACCCTCGTCTCTGCAGCCACAGCCTTGTAGAGGTGTTCAAAAATAGCAGCACAAACAACAGCGACCTGTGTTCATCTTTACCCTTGGAAACACCAATGGATCCTGCTACAGCAATACCCAGTTGTACTATTTCACCCTTGACATTAATAGTTCAGAGTTGAGCCAGGGAGATCTGTGGTGGACATTAGGAAGCATCCCTTCACTGAGAGGGTGGTCAGACTCTGGGACAGGCTTATGGAGAGGTGGTTGATGGTCTGCTTCTCTCAGTGTGTAAGAGACATTAGGACAATATCATGATGCTTTAGGGTCAGTCCTGACATGGTCAGGCAGTCGGACTGGATGATTGTTGTAGGTCCGTTCCAGCTGAAATATTCTGTTCTTTGCTGTGCTGATTGGTGTGGTTACATACATTGCATTGGTGTGGTTTTCTTTTTGATTCCTAGCAATGGTGGCTTTCCTCTTCTTTTAGCCTGCAAGCATAAGAGGTTGATGGGGAGGGGCATGACTAGGTGAGCTGGAGCATTAAGCCCCTTTCCTTTCTTCCTTTCAACCTTTTCTTCCTTGGACACCTCCTAATAGTAGGTTTCTGTGAGTTTAGTTTGGTCATTCTGCTCATCACATGCAGGTTTGTTGAGAGACAGGCATCAGCCATGTGTGCCATGGTATAAATTGGCACTAATAAATCGAACCAACAGAGGTAAATGGAGTAACCATTAGTGCTTTGAAAAAAAAATCTTGATTTTCTCAAAAGTTTGTGGGGTGTATAACTTCAAAAGTTACGCTTTTATTTTGCCCTCCTTAATTCAAATTCCTGCCTGCACACCAAGCAGTATTCATATCATTTTACTAGGATTCATTGTAAGAAACTGAAAGCTTAGAAACTTCATAATTTTATGTAAATCTCAGCATTTTACTTCTTTGGGGGTCTGGATAAGAAAAGGAGGAAGAAGAAAACTTTGGCAACCACTGCAGTGATCTTAACACTCTAGGGACTATCTGAATTCCAGTTTAGTAGAAAGTAATCTTATTTTCCTTTTCCCTTAGCTGACTTCTGCTGCCCTTACTTTTTTTTTTTTTTTTTTTTTTTTTTTTGGCTACCACTGACTCCCCGTCCTTCTTGCTACTTCATATAAACATGCTGTCAGTCCCCTCTGCATTGCTTCCTCCCTGTTCCCACCTCCCACATCAGCCTCAGAAAGACGAGGTGATTCTGCAACTCACTGCCGAGTGCTGCCAGCCCCTCTCCCTTCTGCTGCTGCTGCTTACCATTATGGAAGTAAAGCTGATACCAGCCTGAGCACTGACAGCAACAGGGCAAAACACCAAGATATTATCCTGGAGAATGAGAGGCCGCACTCTGCTGATTCTTGCCTGCACAGCAAAGTTTTAAGTCGTTGCTGTGAGGAGGATGGCCTGAACAGTTCCTTCCTGTTATACATTTTAAAATATCTGGGCAACCCCAGCCAAGCGGGATTATCAATAAGCATTTTCCTGGCAAAAAGGAGAATCAAAACATTCTGTCAGGTTATGAAAAGTACTGCAGAAAAACTCAAGGCAACTTGAGTTTTTAGCCAAATTCTGTGATTTGTCAGAACCTTACATTAAACTGAGGGAGGCAAGGCAGCATATTACTGGCATTTCTATGCATATCTTTATATATTTCGGAATTGGTAGGACAGAATAATATAAGAACATAGAAAAAATAGAGAAATTACTATGCCAGTTCCATATGGTAATTTTAATACAGGAATTACTGGGATAATATGGTTGAGCATGTCCAGTGTGAGCTACATAACTTCCAAGAGCTTGGATAGAGGCAGTGTGACTTGGTGAAGTGCCTGAAAAAGCACTGACAGAAACATTTCCTGACAAATTGTGTTGCTGTGCGGAACCCTTTCGCCTGCAGTGAGAGGTTACCTGTTCATAAGGGATTGAAGCTCCAGCCCAATGAGGAGCTGGGCTGATGAGAGAACATTCCCCCTGTTGCCACTTCTATAGATAATAACTCCTGGCAGAATAATTGAACAAGACAGATACCTACTGGCTACGAAATCCAAAGTCAATACATGAAAATCTGCTGGAAGACAGGAGGAAAGAGCACTGAGGTGTCCCTTCTAGTACTGTGCCTTTTTGTCTAGCTGGTAAAAGTGCAGAGGCTGTTCCCTGCTCAAGTCTGAATTCTTACAATACTTGCAAAGAGGGGGAAAAAAAACCATGATCAAGTTTTTGTTATGTGTTATACAGAACCGAAAAAGGGCACACAGAAAATTGTTTCCCCCTTCTCAGGTCACCTCTCAGATCATGAGGTCATTATGAACTGTCTCAGCACTTTCACAAACTGGAGTCTGCTCAAACCATAATGCTTACAAAGTTTCACTTTGAATAGGCCTGATTTTCTCTGTCATTTGTTTTCACTTTTTATTTCTCTGCAGAACATAAAAAGTCAGAAAAAGATTTTATTTTCCCCCTACATAGCATATAATTTACATCAATCATCCCAGGAGGTCAATACCACTGGGGTGTCATTTAAATACAATGAATATAAAGTAATGAAGCTCTTGCTGGAGTGGATGGCCACAATTCTCGGAGAGAGAGCGAGTTTCCAAAGCATGTGGAGAAAACACAACGGGAGACCGAGTGAATTCATCACACCACAAAAATGTCTCCATCCTGTCGACAAAGTCATTAAAGGAAAATGAACCATTGTTACTCTAGACGCTTGCATTCCTTCAGCATAATAACCTCCGTATAGAAGCATTGGGGCAAAGAGAATTTGCACACACAGGAGAAAAAAAATTCAATCTATTTAAAAAAAAATAAAAAATTCCAGATTATGTAATGAAAGAAATCCTCCATGCTCCAGAGAAGAGACGGAGCCTCTGCAGAAGCCACAACTAATAAGGAACCTTATGCAGTGGTACAGGGCGGTTTCTTTCCCTCCTGCCAACAAGTCAAAGTGAATGCCAACCCGGACAATTTTTTTTTTTTTTCAGATAACCCACAAATTATGTTCTCCTTCAATTACATGAATGTTTCTACACTTTGCTGATCCATAGCCATCCTGGTTTTTAAGATCCCTTGTTGAGATTTCTCCAGTACCATTTCCCTTTTCATATTCATTTACTTCCCGTAATTTTTTTTCAGTTGCCACTAAAGCAATCTGTGAGGAATGCAGGGATTAGAAAAGTTTACCGTGTTCATTTTTATTTACTTTTTTGGCAAAGGATGTCCAAATAAGAGAAACTGTCATATGTCTACAGTAAATCATAGCATATACCAGTATATTAAAATAGATTGTACTTCTGTGGATCCCCTTCAAGGAAATACCACTTTAAAGCCAACCACCGTGCAACCCCTGGTCAAAAAAAGTAGCCTTAGAGAGCTGCAGCAGAAATCCCTCCTTTATTGTAAATTATTCCATGGTGTGGCAAAGACTTCTTTACCATACTAATTAAAGAAGAAATATGCTAATTAAATTATTGCCTTTAATTGTCAAAGCCATATAGCAATGTAATGGATAGTTTACTTTTTTTTTTCTTTAAAATACAAAAAAGCTACCTTGATTTAAGCAAATACTGAAAGGGAAATCTGTTATTTATTTTTAGTAACTGCAGGGAACAGAGAGCCTACTAAAAAGAGAGCAACTTACTGAGGCAACACATGCCAGAAAAGACCAACTCATACCTGTTAATTACAACTAATATGCTCACAGACAACAGCAAGAATGCTATTTATCCATCATTTACAGCCACTGAAGCTCAGGGAAAGGAATTGGTTTGCTGGCAAATGTCCCAATTAATTGGGCGTGCTATTTATTAGGGTGCTGATTAAAGTGTACTCTGCAATGTAATAGTTGAGTATAAAGTTGCCAACTCTTGTTCACTCCTGGCTCGTAGGGATGAAAGCAGGAGAGTAGACTAGTACAATATGAAAATAATTATGTATTCCGTGCCAAAATGGATTTGAGGCAATTCCAATGGCTGGAAGTTAAAGACCTGGAGAGACAGAATTAGGTAGCACCGTGATCTTGAGGGCAGAGCTTTGTTTTGTGTAATCCAGTTGTGACCAAGACCTTCAATCTGTAGTAGCCATTTGGGACATGTATTGACACTTCTCTCAGAAGACAACCCCATAGGCATGCCCTTAAGTAAGCAGCATATGAATTAAACATAAAA